AATTTCTATTCAATCAGATTAGATTTTTTATAAAAATCTTGGGAGCTGACCTCTTGAACCCAAGCTTGTTGCTTGATCGGTGCATCCGGCGCGATGGCGACTCTTCCTACCGTCCTCTGTTTGTACTCGTGAAGAATTGGTATCTTGGAATTCTTGTCACCCGACGACAGAACTACCTCCCGTTCTATCTGTAAACAGGAAAGCGAAGAAACGTTTCTTTAATTCGATGCGTCGCGTCGCGCTGTTAACTGTCAAACCAAATTGACGGCGTATCCCGCCTTGTCGCTCAAATTCAGTCCGCAGCTCTGAGAAACACGCTCGTTAGTATATCCGATTAGTATTCAATAACGACACTGCATTTACCCATTGCAGTATGATTAAATTAATTACATTTATATTCGCCAAATTTGGAATCATTTAATTAATGAGATGAAATAGGAAATTGATTTATTTGTAGAATTAAATGTGTTATGGTTTCGTCAAAGGAATATTTAATGTCGGGTGTTAGAAATGAAACAGTGAACATTTATTCAACAGTAAAGTCTAGTACCGTTTTTGGGGAACAAAATAATTGAGTTAGTGGCTTGCGTGAATTTGTTCGTCTGGCTGCTCGTTGCACCAGACTATTTATTATTTGATTTCTATTTGGGACGATGGACTATCGTAGAGATGGAGCATCTCGACGTCGGAGCAATCGCAGAAATGCTTTATCTAAGTAATTGAAAGCAACTGGTGCAGGTGTTCCATATTCAAGCATTCTAGTTATCCGCCTATTGCGAAGTGGCGTTCGGTGAAATCTTCGGTAACAGTTCGTTGTACGACGCGTATACGTACGTACGTACGTTGGTTACGTTGCGTTCTTGGGAATATTCTCAGAGATTCTCACAATCAGCCGGGACAAAGGAGGCATCATACCTGCGTACCGTTCACCGGAAGCCGCTTAGAACCGGGTTGCGATACCCCCGTCAGATACGCGTCACTTTTACCCGTCGACAAATGATTATTACTTATAATTCCTAATCATGAAAATGTGATTCTTCTACAATTTTCTTTCTACGATTTTTCTCATAAGACAGCTGACTATCAGTTGGTTCGCAATTAACGCGTCACCTTCTTCCTTTTTGCTATGATAAATTTTATTT